CGGTGCGTGCGGACGTACTTACCATGAGTATGAGTCTCTGGTTTAGGAGGGCCGCCCTGTACATCAACCGGGCTTTGTTCCTGCGGATCTTACAATGCGAAGACAGACGATGCCAACAACCACAACATGACCACAGTCAAGCAAAATCACCAGAACATGACATTGTGCGTGCGGGCGATGAATGGTTGATTGCCAGAATCCGAGCATGAAGCAACCCACGGAGCACAACTACGTCTTCCTCCTCTTCCCGCCCCCACCCGCACCAGCAGCAGCACCACCCTCCCCCTCCCCCCACCCCTTCCTCTTCTTCCCCTCCTTCCGCCAAAACTCATCCCGCTCCCGCTTCTCCCTCTCCCGCCTCTTCTCCTCATTCTCCGCCACCTTCGCCTTGTACGGCAGCTTCCGCTCCTCCTGCTTCACCCGCCTCTTCTCCACCTTCTCGTTCCGCAACGTCATGACCTGCTGCATCAACCGCCTCGCGACCTTCTCCTCGCCCCCGACCACCACCGCCCGCTTCTGCGTGTACGTATCGTTCCGCCGCTGCGGCTTCATCTTCACAATCTGCGACTTGAACGGCAGGTCGGCTTGCAGCTTGCGCGGCACGCGCAGCGGGTTGAAGTGCCGCTCCTGCCGCTCAATGGGCCGGTAGTGCGAGTTCTTCTCCTGGGGCGTCGGGATGTTGTTCTCCGCCCTCACTTGGCCCGTCAGACGCATCATGGCCCCTGCTTTCGTGGCCGTTTCCGGCTCCGTCTCCGTCTGCGCCCGCCCACCCTCCAGCAAGTTCGTCACAGGATTATAAAACCGATGCGGCCGCACCGGATACCACGCCCGCAGAAAGATGATGTCGGACATCAGCACCTTATCCTCAAACGTCGCCCTGAAGCACCCTTCCGGCTTCGACAGCGCCTTCTTGATCTGGCCTCGGATGCCCGAGACCGTCTTGATGCCCGCCCCCTCAAACTTCGCAATCTCGAGGCTCGACCCAAACATGTCCTTGATGAAAGCCGTGTTCTTGAAAATCTTGTACGCGTGCCCGGTCAGCTTCAGCTTCTTCACAATCTCCGTGCCCTCGTCCACACTCAACACCACGCCCGTCGCCGCCACGCGGAACCCGGCGTTGCGGTTCGAGAAGCTCTGCACGGCGCAAAACCCGGTATTCGGCGCCGCCAGGGGGCCCCAGAAGGTGCCCGTGCAGTGCATATGCTCCGGCGTGTACTTCAGCATGCGGTGGCGCACGCGCTCGGCGTGGATACTGTACACCGGCAGCGTCTGGAAGCGCCGCCACCCCAGACTCACAATCAGCGGGTCGTTCGTCTTGAGCGTCTTCTTGTGCCAGCGGTGGCGCTTGATGCGCACCTGCACATACCCCATGCGCTCCTCGGTCGGCAGCAGCCCGCCGATGATCAGCGGGTTGCGCGCGTCGAAGTTCTCCACGAACTCGTAGGGGACGTTGGATAGCGTTATGCGGGCGTAGGTGCCGGCTTTGTAGCCCTCGGCGCGCACGCGAGATGCCGTATCCAGGGCCTCGAACTCACGGTTGTTGATGTCCTGCTGCTTCTTCAGCAGAGCCTTCTGCGCGTCGTACCATTCGTCTTCGCCGAACTCGCGCTCGTCCGCCTCGCCGTTGGCTTGGCGGTTGGCGTTCTTGGGGTTCAAGAAACCCTCGCGGTCTTCTTCCTCGAAGCGGAGTTTGAGGTCTTCTTTCCGCTTGGCGTTCTTCTCGCGTTCGGCGGCGAGGTCGTCTGCTGCAGGCTCGGCGGCGGCGGCAGTAGCGTCGCCATCCTCCAGGTCCTCAAACTCGCCGTCGCCCTCTCCCTCATCTCCGCCGTCCGCTTCGTCATCGGAACCAAGAGGCTCGCCATTGGCACCAGTAAGCCGAGCAGATGCGAAGCGATGTCTCAACGCCTCGACATTCTCCTCGTCTGTCCACTTGGTTTCCAGAGCGGCGTAGTCGAGTTTAGGAACGATGCGGTCCTCCTCATCATCACTCACGGTCTTCCTTCTCTGGAACAGTTCATCCTCCTGTCCCTCTTCATCCACGTCCTCCTGCTCAGCCTCGTCCTCCTCACCCTTCCACCTCCGCAGGACTTCGGCCGTCGACAGCATATCGTCATACATCAGCCTCGCCAGCTCTGCCACGCGATAGGGCTGCTTGCGACCGTGCATCGTATTTGCGCGTTCGGCCATTGTGTCCTTCCACCGAAGCGCACCGTCATCCTCATCGTCGAAGTCGTCCTCGTCGAGCTCATCCTCGTCCAGCTCATCTTCATCCAGTCCATCCTCGTCCTCGCCATCCTCAAGCTCCTGGTCTGATTCAGAGGACAAGCTGCCAAGATCGCTATCGCTGTCCGCGAAGGCAATGTCGCCATCAACCTCCTTGTCCTTGCCCGCCTTACCAAGCTTCTCCGGCGCCTGCTGCAGTGCCTCCAGATCGGCCTCATCGTCTGACTCGCCGCTCGCGAAGCCCTCGTCTTCAAGAGCCTCCGCATCATTTTCCTCTCCCTGGGCCACTGTAGGCTTTCTCCTGCTGCTCCGCCCAGTATCCTGTACATCATCATCCTCGACCTCTTGTAGCCGGTCGCCCTTCTCGAACAGCGCAATGCCTTCCTCATCCTCACCCAGCAACCGCCTTCCACCCTGCAACCCAACAACCATCTGCTCGCCAAATCCTCTCTCATCGTCAGACTCGTCGGCATCGAATGTATTGCTCTTAACATCGATGTAGACTGCATCTTTGTCCACAAGCACGCCGCCTACATCCGACATGGGCGCGTAGATGAGCTTCTGCTTCTCCCCGAGCCGTCGCCTCTTCTTCGATCCTTCGGCCTTCTCCTTCGCTTGCTCAAAGTACGGTGTCGGGCACGGGTCCGGTAGGCCTTCAATCTGCGCCACACTCAGATCGCCCACGCCCGGGACGTGTACGCTTGCACCATGACCCGGGAAGTTTGTGCCGCGCAGCCAACCGTAGAGCGCCACTGTGCGATCGCACTTGGAGTCCTCCTCCACCAGCGTAGGTGGCGTGATGTCCAGCATGCGGTCTGCGAGCGCATACGGGTGACTGTTACGCCACACCAACGGCCGAGGGTTCTTCATGACGGACAGGAAGCGCGACAAGTTCAGCACCTCGCGGTCGGGATATCTCCCGTTGATCACACCGGAAAGGTAGAAGAGCTTCGCGCCCTGGTACAGCTCAGACCAAAAGCGGTGCTTCAGCCGCTTCTTCTGCGCCTTGAGCGTGTCCTGCTTGCGGAAGAGGTCCAGGTGGGTGAGAATGCCGAAGATGTTACCCGGCATGCCGGTGCTCGACAGGACGGACAGGAACTCCATCGTCTCCATCTCGAAGCCGAAGTTGCCGTCGATCATCAGGAGCACAATGTCCACCACCTTGGCCGCATCGATCGCGCTCGCCAGGCTGTCGCTCGGGGTCTCGATGAAGGTCAGGCGCCGCCTTTTACTCGTGACGACGGTGATGGGGCCACTGGGCTCGGTAATGCTCTGCTTGGTGTAGCGCCGGACCAGGCTCTTGATGAGCGTCGTCTTGCCAACGCCTGGAGGGCCAACCACTCCGACGACGAGCGGCGGCGCCTCCTCCGGCAGGCGGTCCACGAGCGGGACATGCAGTCGCTTCTCGCGCACATCCTGGCTGCGCGCCGCCTGCTTTGCGAGGCGACCTGGTGCAGCGTAGGCGAAGGCTTTTGGGTTGGGCTGGCCCGCCGTGTGCTTCTTCTTCTCCTTCGTCGGCCGGTGCGCGCGGTGGGCTTGCTCTTCGCCCGCCATGCTTGCTGTGCTGCCTCTGCCCTTGCCGCGTCCGCCTGCTTTGGAGATGCGCCAAGATTTCACGCTGGAGATCGAGAAATGTTTCTGCCGAAGCCGAAGCTGCAGGGATCGTTATCGTTATCGTTATCCTTATCTGCGGCTATCCCCGGCATAGGCCCGTGCCGCTCTGTTTGCGCGACGTCACCCCGCATGTCGCAGGCCACGACACACCCACCCACCTTCAGACCTCTGCTGATTGCGTGCGAGTCCTGCTCTACAAAACCCACAAACCACATCGACTCTACCCAATCCAAAGCAACATACCCAAGCCCCATCACCCGACGAATCAACAAGGACAACGCTCAATATGCCTTCCATCAACGTGAGCTGCTCCGGAAGACAACATCCCCGCTCTGCGACTGACTGACTGACGAATCGCTAGGTCTCCCTCAAGGACGGCGCCAGTGCCGAGCAGCTTGATGCGTACGAGCATTCGTTGTCCTTCGCGAGATGGGCACTGTATAGCTGACACAACCCACAGCGCCAAGAAGCAGGTGACGGACCAGGGCGGCAAGATCATCAACGAGTTCAAGCTGATCAAGGGCTTCACGTACGTCTCAGCAATCCCAGCCAATGACAATGGCTTGCCCGCAATTACCCTGCTGATGTTGAGTAGTGCCGAATTCCCGGCCGACAAGGTGCACACCCTGGAGTCCAACGAACACCTCAACGTCGAGGCCGATGGGCAGGTCAAGACGCAGTAGACGATGGACAGCAAGTAGTTGGAGGCCAGTTGGTATGACGTATTAAGATACCCATGGGTGCATACGATGTGGATAGAGACAGGCAGGCTAAGGTAGCATAATCATGAAACATTCTCCCCGAAGCCCCTCGCTGAAACGAAGCAAGTTATCGGTGATAGTTGCGTGACGAGCCAAAAGAAACATGATCCCTCCAGGATTTGAACCCAGATCTCCCATCCACACAAACCAGCACCGGTCCGGAAATGCGTGGCTGAGTATGCTACCGTTACACCAGGGGACCAATTCGACGTTAACAAGCCCGGCAGGATCTCTTCATGCTTCCATAGACGTGAGCAGTCAAGACCCGAGGTTTCCACGAAGCTCAGGGGATCACCTGGTCGCATGTGGCATACCATTACCACCCGCAAGCATTCTACGAATCAACGTCAGCAGTCCTAAGCAACCCAACCTCTCCCAGGGGCCGTTCTCGAGGCAAAATCATGCCCTCGCTGCGGTTCGAACGCAGGTCTTCCAATCACCAGGAGCGCTAACTCAAGGATACAAGCTGGGCTATGTAAGAGAAGCCGTGAGGCCATCCCTACCCATCGATGGTTGGACGTGCTACCAACATCACCACAAAGGCCAGTGACTTGGTGGCAGCACAAATACTTGATGGATACATGTACGTTTGGCAGTCGAGAGGCCGAAGTACGTCCGGAGTCGATGAGACGGTTGCTTTGCCGACGTGCGGCAGCGATATGCAGCTACTGACTTCATCGATATGCTCTAGATGTCCTGGGGCTACTTGCACACCACCGTCTAGCAGTACTCTAGCTCCTTGTAGACATGCCTCTCGTGTCCTTGTCACTTTTCGCGGGTGGTGCAAGATTCTGCGATGTCTCTTTGTTTGAACCAGATGTCGTAGGTACCCATATCAGCATCACCCAGCACCGGACGTTGAAGCTCGAACATCCCTCCATCGCACGCATCAGACCGTGCACACCAGCGTCCACCCACATGTCAACGAAGACGTCAAGTTGCCTCTTTCACCTTTGCGAGAACGAGGAGCTGGCCGAGACCACCGTACCTTGCGACCTGTCCATCTTCACCACGGCGAAAGAAGTCCAATTGCATGCGCTGGCAGGCTTCAACATCGATCCCACGCACGTGCAGACTGTCAGGTATCATACGGAGAACGAGGAGTGCTCAGAAGACAAGTCGCTGGCTGCAATTCACAAGCCTGACCTCTTCAGTAAGCTTGCGGGGAGGCGTGTGTTGTTGCATGTTTGGTATGTGGAGGAGGACGGTATCGAGCCTGACGGCGACGAGGAGCGTAGTGGTGACAGTGTTGAGCCGGACGATCGCAACGAGGAGCCAGGTAGTGGACAGAAGCGGACGACGCGGTCCTCGGCGAGGAGCAACCGGGAGGCCAGCGGCAAGCTTGGTGGCAATAGCAATTCGGCGTCGAACAGCAAGTCGGCTTCGAACAGCAAGTCGGTGTCGAACAGCAAACAGGCACCTACGGCTAAGCAGAACACCAACGGTGGCAACAAGCCGCCAGATGCGATGGAATCTATCAGCCCAAACAAGCCTCAACCAAAAGAGACGACCACTATCGACTACAGCAAAGTCATGTTATCGTTCCACATATGCGGCAGGCGGAAACCCGCTCAGCATATACCTCTGGTCATGGGTCCCGACGTGGACTATAAGCTGGAGGAGCAGCGCATCTTGTTCTACCTGCATGGTGCTCCGACTCACGCAGTCTACTTGCATTTGCCCGGCGAAAGCTGCTATGTGCAACGACCCATCGACGACCTGTTGGGCGGGAAAAGGCAGCCTGACGGCGGATTGGACAGTGGTCGGTCATCGCTATGTGTCCATCTCGAAAGGTGTGAGCAGCTCAAGGTTGATGAGATGGAGACTGGGAAGCTACGTGCAGCCTTCAAGGAAGCCAGAGAGGCGGAGCATGGTGAGCGGCAGAGCGACAGTGGAGTGGACAAGGCTACTGTTAAGCTTCGACTCTAGCAGGGAGAGCCATTTGAGTGGTGTGAGACGGTATGGCAAGAGCACGCATACAATGTCCTGCTATCCGCCAATCTAGAGGATCTCTGCCGCAAACAAGTCGATGGTTGGATCGTGTGCTTGCGCGACGCAGACGCAGCGCTCAGCGCTCAATTGGAAAGGGACAAGCAGAAGTTTGATTGGGTGCTCACTCTGGACTGGATTGAGACGCGGGCTGGGGAGCTGAAGCTGCTGCGGAACAGGTTTACTGGCACGATCCTTTCCGACCTTGTGCCAATCACCTGGCCTTCGGAGCACTTGACAATGTACGCGACGGCTCGCATCAGTCTCCAGGAAGATGACTGTGTGGACGATGGTGACGATATTGCTGGCGCTGATGACCCATGATGGCAGTGGCAAGCACCTCGCAGAATCGGGAACTTCAGATACCCCAAGAACTTGTGAGTGATGCTGCAGAAGACTGCCATTGAAAACTCTGTTTGGGTGCCGGAACGGTAGTTGTGAATTTCTTGAGCTCGCAGGATAGGCTGTTCACGGAGAGTCGGGGACGCACATCCTATTGGACTGACGGAGGCTTGGCAAGTGCATCACTCTTCAGAAGTAACATCATTGATGCGGTGCCGCTTCTGCGGCATCCGGCAAAACGATGGACTAGTCCAAGAGCACTCACACACTTCTCCTTCGTGTTCATGTAATCCGTTTGTTCACGGGTGACTAACAAACGCACTTGCAGATTGCAGAGGGACATGCATTGTCTTACGACACTTACCTTGTCCTCAGTGCCTGCTAGCATCGAGCCTTAGACAAGCATGTTGTCGCGGCCGATTGCATGCCGTTGGCTGTTCGAAGACCAGGCCGGCCATATATTGCATCCAGTTTCTTGCACAGAAGCTGTTACACGGCATCTCTTCTGTGTAATGTCTGGACTCCACAAGAAGGGCGTTGATCCCGCAGCACCCCTAACGTTGGCGGAACTCGCAGCACCTAGAGCCAAGGTCTCTCTGTGCATCTGTGGCTTGCCAGATACGTCCACAGTCGTCGAGATCGTATGGAAGCCCCGCGACATTGAAAATCCACGGCACGCAGAGCAGCAGCTGCTGCGATTCCTTGAAGCAGACGATGAGAGCTATACGTTGCTCTTTCACGCTGATAATGAGCCGTGCTATGTCAGGCGGCCTTGGAAGGACGTGTACCAATTGTACAACAGAAAGCTCATGAGGAACAAGCATTTTGCGTTGCACCTGCATCGAGTAGCTCGTGATGGTGATGCAGAGTCGATCGATGGCGAGAAGGCTTCAGAAGCGGCTGGTGTAGGCTCGAGCGAGCCGGCCGAACTACCTGGTGGAGCTCAGCAGCACAATGGTCATCACGAGGAAGCGGGGGCAGGTGAAGGAGACGGTGAGCTCGATGGTGCTGCAGCCGAAGCAGGACAGCAAGCCGCCACGGAGGCTCGTCGGCAGTCTGCTGAGCTGGACAACGCCAATAAACCCTCTCAAAACAACGACTCAGCGACACAGAAAGGTTGTGCAACCTTCGACATCAACTGGACCTGCGACACCGACCCTTCAACTCCGATGGGCGACGACAGTCAGCTCAAAGTTGAACTCAGTGCCAGCCTTGACGAGCTGCGGGCTCGCATCAAAGAAGCACTGATCGAACGGCTGAAACTGGGCCAAATGGATATCTCGCATCTTGGCACGGGGGTTACGCTACAGTTCAAGGCCATCATCGATCGCGGTGTACCTGGCGCGCGCCTGCTGGACATTGATGACCTATCTCATGATTGGAGGTTGGATGCTGTGAGAGACATGCTAGACGACCGCGACACTATAACAGCACAAATGCATGCCACAGTCACACTGGAAGCAAAGTCCGGACATCTCTCTGGGACCTCGTCGAAGAAGCGGAGGGCACCACGGATGTCCGCAGCATCCATCGACTCCGAGGGGGTCGTCCGATCATGCCACAAGGAGGATGAGCACGACTACTTGCGTGTTGGTGATTGGAAGTGTCCAACTCAGGCGAGAGCAACAGATGTTGCGGTGGAGTATCCATTGATCGCAGAGACAGATCCGCGAGCCCAGACACTGGTCAGCCTGTGGTGCACAGACGCTTGGAACTTTGGAGACTTATGCATTGGCGGGCTCATGGGCGCGAAGGAGGAAGTGTCATCCGACCTAAAGGACATGTCCGACTACGATTGGTGGTCTCCCTACAGCGGCGTCAAGGACAAGGCCGATCTTTGCGAGCGTATTTTCAGACCGGTCGGCAAAGCTCCTCGCTTCCCAACCTTGCCACCACTGACGTACAACACTTTCGATCCTGCAACCACAGATCGTCCTATGGGTGTCAGGACGCTGGGCTTGAAACGCTTTGGCGCCGTCGTCCGTTTTGTCAGCCATCTCGCGGGCCCGACAGCCGCTAAGACAGAGTTCCACGACAATTACCAGACCACTCTGAGAAATGCGGATACACACCAGAACGTACTGGCAAGCATTGACGCACATCTCAGGGCACAGCAGGGCAGTTCTGAGCTCTACAAGTCGGGCTTGAAAGGCAGCTGGAAGTGGGAGCTGTGGGCTATGCCGCAAGCGCCTGGTCCGCAGAAGTTGTTCAGAATCCCAACGGGTCGGCCAGGCTGTGTTGGCCTTCTCAGAGACTTCGTAAGTCAACAGAGCCTGGATGAGGGACATCGCAAGCTGTATTTGGAAGCCCATCTCTGGCCGAAGTAAGTCAATACGCTGTGCTGGCGTGAGGCATCCGCTGACTGTGTGTAGCCATAACGCGGCACCAACACCTCAGCTTAGCTCCCCGGTGCACAGCAACCGGGATGGTGCTGGACCTGCTGACGGTGAGCCACGCGAGGGTGCAGTGAGCGACGAGGAAGATGCGGAAGAGTCCTCTCCCACGGAGCGGAGACTCATACAGACTGCGATGGAGCTGTCTCGGGTGTCGGCAGAGAATGAGGACGTGCGGCGCGCGATAGATCGGTCTATGATCGTAGACAATGCGGCAATGGAGGAGGCGCTCGAACAGTTCCAACAGGAAGAGTGGTTGAGGACGGTAGACTCCAACATTGATGCGGAGCGGAGGAGGCGTGCTACGCCATTGCCTGGCCAGGGGGAGTGGTTCAATGAACAGGGTTCATTGGACGACTTGCCAGAAGATGATTATGGGCCAGAAGATGACGCAGCGCAGGACTGAGAGTATTGACGTGGCCATCCACCAAGTAGTGCTCACAGGATCACTACCGAAGGTTTGCAGGGTGAGGGTGAAGCGAGCCTGACTATTGAGTCGAGTACCGATTCTCAGTCGTCAGGACATTACCTGCTCTCCATCCAACCATGGTCTTGCCTTTTGGTCATGCCTTCGGTCCCGTTCGGTGCCCACTGCTGCTCACCGGTGGGAAGGTGTCTGCATGAGCTTAGCGGCCGGTAGACTGCGGTTTGCCAAACGACTCTTTGTTACCAGACAGGCGTACCGGAAACCCCTCACCGTGAGACCTGCCACGAAGCGCTAGACATTGTTCCCGCACTAGCCAAGACACGCATGCCTTGCCTCGTCGTGTCAGGTCCTAGACAGTCTGACTTAGCCGTTGTCCAGAAGCGCTTTGTTTGA